GTTTTATATTTGAGTAGGAAAATAAGTTAGTGAAGTGAACGTGATGCTAAGGAATACCCTCTTGAGAAGAACATGGCTGGATTTGCAGAAAGAAGGAAGTAGCCTGCTTATGATGGCTTAAAAATTATGAAGAATCTACGTGAAATGTACTAGTATGCGGCTGTAGAGTTCGGGTAGCGTGAGGCATAATTCCTCATCGGGATAAATTTATTCGCCAACAGTGTGATTATAAGCAGAACATGTTGCTGTTTGGCATCAGTTGACAAGGACAAGCAAAATTGTTTGTGGGAGAAATATATGTTTGGGCTACCGATATCACAAGCTGAAAATTCCATACTTGTATCAAAAATACAAACCTAGCCTAGATTACTAGGTCACTAGTATTCTAGCCTGTCCCAAGCCCGGGTAGAGAGAGAGGGTTGGGGCGTGGTGCTAGCAGCTCCACCCCCAAAACTTAACCACATTGCTACAAAAACTTCAAAGCACAAATACATTAAAAATTCTACATATACAAACAGTGTCCTTATTTTTCGCTGGAATCGGGGAAGTGAAATGACGCAGGCTGGTGAAAGCCTTCGGGAAGCCAGTCAGCCGATGTGCCTTCTTTCGATGACAGCAAAAATAAGGATGGGGACGTGGAATATTCGTACAATGTACGAAACTGGAAAGGCTGCTCAGGTAGCCTCGGAAATGAGGAGATATAAAATAGAAGTGTTGGGAATCTGCGAGAGCAGATGGAACGACTGCGGAAGGTGCCAACTGGAGAGACAAGAATCTACTCCGGTCATCCAGAGGACGATCACGAGCACACTGAGGGAGTAGCCATCATGATGTCACCAACAGCGGCTAAAGCTCTCATGCAGTGGGAACCAATCTCCTCCAGGATAATGACAGCCAGGTTCAACTCAAAAGGAAAGAAGGTAACAATCATTCAATGCTACGCGCCTACGAACGTCTCAGAAAAAGAGAAGAAGGAGGATTTCTACAGTCAACTACAAACAGTAATGGACAACGTCCCAAAGAGCCATATCAAAATCCTGATGGGTTATATGAAAGCGAAACTGGGAGGAGACAATACAGGAAGAGAACTCACCATGGGTCGTGAGGCCCTCGGTGAAATGAACGAAAATGATGAACTCTTCTCAGACTTCTCCACCTTCAATGATTTGGTGATTGGTGGCAGTGTGTTCAAACACAAGGATATACACAAGGCAACATGGATTTCACCAGATGGGCACACCAAAAACCAGATAGACTTCATTTCAAACTCAAGGAAGTGGAGGCAGAGCCTACTGGACACAAGGTCGAGGAGAGGAGCAGATGTGGGTTCAGACCACTATCTAGTACAAGGGATATTCAAGGTGAAGCTGAAAGCCTCGAGGATACCTGGGGATAGGCCACAATGCAAGTTCAACACTCATAAACTGAAGGACACAATCACACAGGACATTTTCACTGCAACTGTCAGAGCAAAGCAGGAAACACTACGTGGCACCACCGAGAAATCATCCGTGGAAGACCATTGGAACTCTCTGAAGGTAATTTTCAACGAAACGTGCTCAACGGTTTTAGGAAGAAAGAGGAAACAAGACAAGGAATGGCTCTCAACAGACACTTGGAAACTAATAGAGGAGAGGAGAATGCTGAGAGAGAAAATGATTCAATGCAAAGACGGACGAGAGAAAGAGACGCTGAGCTCAACTTACACAGCACTGGACAAAGAAGTGAAGAAGAGTGCCAGGAAGGACAAAAGACAATTCTACGACAACCTGGCTACTGAAGCTGAGAATGCAGCAGGCAAAAGCAAAACTATATCAGATAACCAAGTCTCTATCCGGGAAGGGGTCAACACAAGTGAAACCTATAAAAGACAGCCAAGGGAACCCAATTACCAAAGAAGAAAGACAAATTAAACAATGGGCGGACCACTTCAAAGGACTCTTGAACTGACCACCACCTACAACCCGTCCAGAAATACCGACAACAGCACGTGCACAACTGCAAGTTGACACCAATCCTCCAACAAAAACTGAAGTCATGAATGCAATCAAGCTTCTGAAAGCTGGAAAAGCAGCTGGACCAGATAGAATACCCCCGGAAGCACTGAAAGCGGACCCAGAAACGACTGCACATTACTGACTCCATTATTGCAAAAGATCTGGAAAGAGGGAAAGGTGCCTACTGACTGGAGGAAAGGTTACCTCGTGAAACTTCCAAAGAAGGGTGACCTAGGACTCTGCAAGAACTGGCGAGGAATCATGCTGCTGTCGACGCCAAGTAAAATCCTGAGTCGCATCATCCTGGAGAGAATAAAGGACGCACTGGATACAGAACTCCGACCAGAACAAGCTGGATTCAGGAAAGGCAAATCATGTTCTGACCAAATTACAACTCTACGCATCATCATCGAACAAAGCATGGAATGGCAATCAAACCTCTACCTCAACTTTATAGACTTTGAGAAGGCCTTCGACAGCGTTGACCGTGAAGTAATTTGGAAACTACTCAAGTACTACGGCGTACCCCAAATATTCATCAACCTTATTCAACAGCTGTACGACAACGGCACATGCCAAGTGATCCACAACGGAAAACTCAGTGAGGCGTTTGGAGTAAACACAGAAGTCAGACAAGGGTGCTTATTATCACCAATGATATTCCTAATTGTGGTGGACTGGATTATGCGTCAGACAGTGGGAAACGAGAAGACAGGGATATCCTGGATCGACGTGAAGAACCTAGAAGACCTGGATTTCGCGCGTGGATGATTTATGTTTGATGTCACACAAAATCGAAGACTTACAAGCGAAAACCGACAAACTGGTCGAAGAAGCAGCAAAGACAGGACTCCAGGTGAACATAGACAAGACGGAGGTTATGAAAATAACCAACCAACAACAACAGCAGCAGCAACATCCAGCGCCAACCACCATCAACGGGAGGGATTTGAAAGAGGCTACTTCTTCCACTAATCTAGGGAGCATTGTCTCAACTACAGGAGGAACGGACGAGGATGTCAAATCGAGAATCGGGAAGGCGAGAAACACATTCATCAACCTGAAACCAATCTGGAAATCTTCGTCACTCAGCCTACATCAACAACAAAATTCGGATTTTCAATACAAACGTCAAGTCAGTTCTTCTATACGGATCAGAAACTTGGCGGGTCACAAAGAATATTTCCAACAGCCTGTTGCAGACCTTTATCAACAACTGTCTTCGCTCTATACTGAAGATCAGATGGCCGGAAAGAATCACCAACAAGAAACTATGGGAACAAACAAAACAAGAACCAATCGCCCAACAAATATGCAGGAGAAAGTGGAGATGGATTGGACACTCGCTGAGGAGGCCGCTGGGTGACATCGCGCGTCAGGCCAATGCTCGAGTGGAACCCGAAAGGGAAGCGGCGAGTGGGACGTCCAAGGGTGACATGGAGGAGATCGTGTGAAGAAGAGTTGAAACAGTATGGACTAACATGGATGCAGGTGAAAAGTACAGCAGAAGACAGAAGCAAGTGGAGGCGTGCAGTTGAAGCCCTATGTTCCACTAGGAACCCAAGGGAACAATAATATTAATCAAAAATAGGTTGTGAAATCCAGCTACGATAAAAAATTAATTTCAAAAAATGAAACAAAAATGAAATAAATACTGTCTAATAAAAGTTTTGAAACCAGATAGTGGCAGAATTATCCAGTGCAAAATGTTTGACTAGTTAGAGGTGACATTTATGGAGTAGGCAAGTTGACAGAATCTATTGTTTTGTAGATATTAGGCACCAACAAGAAGAGAATAAGAATCGAGACCTTTCTTTAGTGATGCCTAATGATTTTCCATCGACGTAATGGAATTGGGGAGGTTAAGGATGTTGATGATTTTACAAGATAAGCTGCATGTAAGTTATTAATCCTCATCTACCATAGCATTTTTCCAGGTTAAACTGAAGACAAATTAAATCAACTTATTGTCTGAAATGCGATATATCCTGGGATCTTTCCCTCGCTTACGCCATTTAATAAGACAGCTCCCACTCTCCTAACACCTTCAAACAGTATTTCAGCTTTACCTTTGCTACTGACATGCCAATGTATTGTTGCAATAATGAACTGTGGCTTCCTCAATCTATGTAGAATTCTATTTATTGATAATGTACTAACTGGATGCAATACTGTAGTAAAAATGCTGAGAATTCCATTCTGTATCACAAGTACTCTTTTGGAATAAAGCAAATTATTATTATTAATGAGGCGATAATTTCTCAGTTAGTTAGGGATGGAACACAAAAACCAGACAACTAGGCGGAGTGCTATGTGGCGCGGATGCCTGATAGTGAATCTTTGGCTTGACAAGTCTTAAACAGCGACAGCCAGTCATCATTAAACAACTGTGATGAATTATTTTCCGCTACAGAATTGTTCAACTTTAATACCCTAGACCACGGAATGCTCTCACTCATCAAAATTGACATACGATCGCTAAAATGTGGTAGAAATCTCATTCATTACAAGTGGCCTGACTGGCGAAACTGAGCAAGACAATGTCGCCTTTGCGTAAAATTTGGCGAAATCACTAGAGGTAATACCGAGACATAAAGCTTGACAACATGAAGAAACCGTTTCTACCATCGTCATTAGTTCACCATTGTTTATTAACTGTTTACAAACAACAATCATTTGTGTGCGAATTCCATTCGCCAGCCATTGACGTTCGTCCTACATTTCTTAGTCGATCTTTTGATCCAATTAACTGATGCAATTTCACAGGGATGAGAAGAATGTGTATTGAGAAAGAAGATATACAGAATATCCTTTTATAATGCACGAGTAAACCGAAAATTTTATCATTATGCACATTTCGCATACATCCTTCTCCTTTTGGTATAAATGTCCTTTGAAACTGCTCGTGAATACAGTGAAAGAAGGTCTTTCTGGCTGAAAACATATTACGTGGCTATCAGTTGATGATAAGGTATATTGTTTGACTGCACCAGATTTGCTCAAGTTTACGAGCGTTATTTGACACATTGTTTACCCGCAGAACTTGAACAGGATGTATTTTCGTTTGGCTTTTTCGAAGCTTTCAGTAATCCGAAACTGCATTCATACATCCAGAGGGATAAGGTGTAAGATTTTTTAAAATTTAGTGATGCACTTGATTTTCACAGTCCCCGTACAGCTGAAAATGCCGTCTTTGTCACCCACTATGAACGAGGGAAGTATTGTAAATTGGCTTAAAAAAGAAGGTACGATGATAATTCTCGGTTAAAATACAATATCTTACAAGGCGACGAAGTTCTTGCTGGGGACGCATTGTGCGAAGTTCAGACGGATAAAGCTGTGATGACGTTTGAGTCGGATGAGGATGGTATTCTCGCTAAAATATTGGTGAGTATAACCCCCCTCACAGTAATAATAATGCGACCTAATCATAGCAAAGTTTAAACATCACGTCTGATGTTGTGTAAACGCACGAGTGATTTTGTGCCCATCAATTATAAAAATGGCATTTCTACCTAAAAGATGACGTTCTCTGACATGATATAGAAATAGCTGCTTTAATAATGAGGCGTATTGGTTTTTAAGTTAGACCAGTTTCTACACATGTTTTTACTGAGGTGACTCAAGAGGAGCGTTTACTTTGACACGTTCATCGCTCTCACAATGTTTTGCAGTCAAAAGCTCTCGGTGGAATTACTGTGGTTTCCAGTATGAGAATCGACGAGTATTTACTAGGAAAATGTGGGTAGTAAAATTTATTAAATGATACAAACCCTTAAAATAACCATAATCTTGACGCTAACATTAACTCTTATTCTGACCCAACCCTAACGAGCTGTTAACACATTGTTCAAACAGTAGTTCAAAACGAGATCATTGGGGGAAATTTACACCTTAATTCGTGAATAGCGTTTACATTAATTCTATAATAATGATAAATTCCGTCATCCACCGACTACTATGTATTCAGGATCATTGGAACGTTGGCACTCTTGGGAGGTGATACTTTAACTTAGCCCTAGTGATTAAGGGACACTGATTTTGGTTTTTTTTTAGAGTTGTATGGTTAATCCTTCGAGGTTGATTGTATTAGATCATGAACGTCTATGGATTAAAATATTGCCTAGAACTTAGTTCACTTTCATACTAGTTTTTTTCTCCATGTTATTACGGATACCTGTCTTGTGGCATAAGCTTGATGTATAAGATTTACTCAACTGTACCATGTCATTTTATTTCCCATTGTCGGGTATATGACTGAATGACTGATTGGTTTCAACGTAGAACTTTGCACAGATGTACAGCAGTTCTAGTTGCCATACTCTCTCCCTCTATGTAGCACACAAAGCAAAAAAGAGAGTATCGAATGATTCACGACAGATAGAGAAAGAGATAATAAACAGAAATTTGAGGCAAAAAGAATAGTAATATGGCAGAACAATATAGTTTTATTGGATATCATAAGATCGCAAGGAGTGGATGCATCTGCGCCAGCCAGCCATCACCGAGAACGATCACTTTGAGCCCGCCATATCACCAGTTGTCTCAGGCCATAGGTTTTTACCGTCCTGCGGACGCCAACCAGTCAGTCTACACCTTCCTACTTGACTGGCTGGCTTAAACTAACTGTTGTGTATTTCATTGACTGATGGTGAGGCCATGATTTGGTTTGACCACCACCACCACTGGCTAGCTCTTTTTCAATCTGATTGAACCTGTCAGCTAACACCGTCCGTCGGTCGAGTGAGGTGATGGCTAGGTATGCATGTCGTAACCATCTCTCTCAGTCGATGTGAATACTTCACAGTCTCGATTGTTTTCGCCTCCTTACCTAGCATTCAACCGACGCCTAACCTTAATATTGATCACCCTATTATACCGCCTCTCCCTCCACCCGAACTATTACAATAGATTTTAAAACAAACTGTCATCTTATCCCATTCTCCTACGTTGTATGGTTGAGTGTAATTACATGTAGTGAGTGCCATGGCTGAACTATTCTCTCGATTTTATGCTCAGCTAGTCTGACTGACTGTGCACCTGTTCTACTACTTTGACCTATATATTTGACCTGACAATTATTGCAGGTAGGGTATTAGATAAACTAAATTTTTTTGTTTAGTTGACTCCATAGACAAGATCCGTTAATTGAAAAAGCCTGTTTCTAATTGAGTTTGTTGGTTTGAATGCCAGCCGATTTTATTCCTGACTGCATTGTTAAGAATTCTCCGCCGTATGGTTTCCGAGGTTCCTTCTTTGCATGGAAGTACTACTGATGACAAATAGGAGAGAACAAAGAAAACTATAACACTGAAGTTTCGAAGTCGTGTGTGATTATAATTGATGAAATGATTATGAACAAAAAATATTTGTTCGAAACTTTGTCATCCAGTAAGCAGTACTACTGTTTCACTGTATGATATATCTAATAAAACAAACTAATATGAAATTGCATACTACCACAGTGCCCAAGTTTTACACACATATATTAATGCAATTATCCCCATCTGCTGATGTGATGCACTTAGACATTATCAGGTATTTTGTAGGGAGAGTTCTCTAGGCTTCAGAGCTTGTCACTGAGTGAGTTCGTATGTTTTAAATGCAATCTGAATTCCTGTCCTATTAAGAATTCTACGTATAGTTTCAGACGTAACTTTCTTATATGGTAGAACTATTGGTGACTTAAATTCCTTCTTATTTATCTTACGGTTAATAGTTCTGCTATTATTTTTCCTGTTCATGTGAAGCTTTGTGATATTAATGGATTGATTTACTGGGATAGTTATGTGGCGCCAACGCTTCACCTTCTATGTGTTTCATTTCATTATTTAACTTTGTTGATGTACTCCTTAGAGTTTCCGCTCAGTTTGTTAGACATTAAACTATGTACGCCTTTATAGATAACGGATGAGATGACTTGAAGTCTAAATATAAATATTAGAATGTGATTGGTTTCTATGTATGCTATTGCATAGTTTACCTTCTCAGTCTGAAGTAGGCTAATTCTCCTTCTTCATTTTCTGACTAAAATGTGAGTCTGATTCCTTTAGTTGGATACTAGGTATCAAGGAATGCGATGAGTGTGTAGTCCTTGACTAGATTCTGTCAGTCACTTATGCACTGTGACCACCATGACAGGTGGCTGGCCATCATAATGTACTCTGATTTGTTTTTAGGTGGTTGGAGGCAATCGGCCACAGACAGCCTTGAATCTAGGTTTCGTGCTTTTCGGCTGTCTCCAGCAAGGCGAAGGATTTTATCTCTTTTGAGATTCAAACTCAGGTCTCTGTACTATTGAGTTTATGCGTGTGGAGAAACTAGAGATGTATTCTGCGTTTAACACGTATCTCCTGCATATATTTGAAGCAGGATTAAATGTATCGTGGGCCATATTTTCCCAGCAATCTATAAAGTTATCTGCTACGATAGGGGGTGTTGTTGACCTAATTGGTGTACCCCTTTTGTTTGTCTATATACTTTGCCCTGGAGTTTGACGACAGTAGGGGCAAGGTGTAATTGAATTCTTAAAATAATCCCCTGAGTGGATAGCTTGGTTGTATGAGTGAGTTCAGGGGCAGCAGTTTGTTATTTTCTAAGTGCTTCCAAAGCCATATTGATTAGTATATTAGTATAATGACTAGCTATATCGAAACTAACCATTTATGCAGCATTTCTTGTTTGAATATCATTGAGATTTTTAATTTTGTGTGAATTGGTAAATCTGAAGTTTGAACAATTTCTTATGGAACGGAATATTAGTGTTTAAAACAATTAGTTCCCCTTACGAATTTAGTTAGTTAGACACAAAGCAATAAGAAGACAATTTGTCTGAATCGTGTATTGTGTATTTGCGTGCAACACTTATGTCGAACAATCTTATCCATCACAGACGGACTTGTCATAGGAGTGCATATATGTTTGAAATTAATAAAGAGTTAAGAAGTGAAAAAATAAATTTAGGTCAAGTTTAAAGGATTTATTGAAGGTGAAAATAACAATGAAGATCACTAAGCCAAATAACAGAGGTAACATAGTACATCTGCCCTGGTTGGTATCAAAACAAAGTTTACCAAGGACGGTAGGTTTAGTGTGATGATGAATTGTTGCTGTGAATACATAAAGGTGGTTTAAAATTCCTAATTACCAGCTACAGCTTCTACAAACTTTAGGACAGGCCCTCCCCCAAACACCTATAGATTGATATTTATACATCTTTTAAATCTTTTATGTCCCATCTCTTCAGTAATTTGTTCCACAATAGACGAGCTAGGTCGTCGCCTATTCTGACCACTAATTAATGGGTTCTGAAGATTTTATTTGCTTTTGAAGCCAGCCCTTACTTTCAGAGATCGATGACTCATTCCTTCTATGTATGTGTGTTTCTACACGTATATTCGAATTGGTAAGTACAGTGGGGTGGGGGATTGACATCATTTTTCACCTGTTCAAAGGGCTTAGACGGATGGATATATTGGCTTCATATTCTCATGTATCATTATGATATTAGATGCATAAAAATTCTTTTTAACTACAACAGCGTTCAATGTTTGTGTAGTTGTCAAGCTGCTGTGATACCCCTATCCCGCCATTTTAAGGTAGCTGAATATACACAGCCGACTTAGCAGAGTCGAGTTGGTGTTCCACTGACTACTTTAAATCATCTCCTGATAAACTTGTCTGGATAATTGTTATCAACCAGAGTTTGTGCCAACTTCCTTTCTTCCTTCTTCATCAAATGTGTCTTCGTCACCTCACCAAGCCTCTTTTGCACTGAACAAGGCAAAAACTGTGATAATTAAGATACTGTCCTATCCAGGCTGGTCTTCTATAAATAAATCGTTTTATTGATCCATCATGCGGTCGACTAAACAATATGTCTAGGAAAGATAAACAATTATCTTCCTCTTCTCCAGATGTAACTGGTATGCTTACTATTCTGAACTTCATTCATTCGATTTAAATTTTAGTTGGCAGAACAAGACTTATCACTTATGATTACAATGTCGTTTACATATCTTCTATAAATTGGCATATTTTCGATTAAATCCTTCGGTAAATTCTCAATGTACGACATACAGATATCTGCTAAAAGGGGCCCTAACGGATTTCCCATAGCAACACCATCAACTTGACGGAAACAATCGCCTTCAAGTGTAAACCTAACATTGGTAGTACATAGAAGTAAGAAATTCCTTAAATGAGAAGATACATAGGGAACGGGATGAAAAATGTAATGTGAAATGCAATCACACACAAAATGTCAGTTGTTTTGAAGTGAAGGCACATTATTGAATAAAGGGTTCACATCATTAAGACAGTTAACCAGCTCAAATGTATCTGTTAATACATACACTTACAGAATTGTGTTTTGACTGGATGCAATAATTCAACTAACCACCATTTAGTAAGTTTATATGTTGGGGATTATTAATGTTAAGTGTGTTTATTATTATTGTTTTCTTTAGTTCCTAGAGGAACATAGGGCTTCAGCCGTGTGTCTCCATTGCGTTCGATTCTCTGCCAACGTTTTCACTTGGCTCCACATCTGCCCACATGCTTTCATCTCCTCTTCACATGACCTCCTCCAAGTCCCCTTGGACGACCAACTCGCCGCTTCCCTTTCGGTTTCCGCTCAACGGCTTGTCTAGTGATGTCACTTGATGATTTGTGTTCTCAGAGTATGGCCAATCCACCTCCATTTCTTCCTGCACATTCGTTGCGCAATCGGTTCCTTCTGGGTTCGTTCACTCCCAGAGATCCCCGTTGCTGATCTTTTCTGGCCGGTCATCTGATCTGGAGTATTGAGCGAAGACAGCTATTGATGAAGGTTTGTAGTTTGTTTAAGGTGCTTTTCATGACGCGCCGTCTCTGATCCATAAAGTAGCATTGACTTCACACTGGAGTTGAAAATCCGGATCTTATTTTTCATGCTGAGTGCTGTTGAACTCCACAGAGACTTGAGAGAAATGAAAGCTTGCCCTGCCTTCCCTATCCTCGCTTTGATGATATCCTCATTATTTCCGTCCTTGTGTAGTTGATACGATGCTTCCCAGGTAGGTAGGTAAATGAGGTTACTTCTTTCACATTCCTCCCATTTATGCTAATTGTTGTCTGTTGTTGCTGTGGCTGTTGCTGTTGGCAGGCAGGAATCTTCATCATCACCACATCTGTTCACCTGAAGTCCTATCTTCTCTAGATGCTTCTTCTGTCGCTAACTTGATGCTTTTCACTTGCCTATCTCCCAGTTTGTGAGAAATCAAACATATATCATCGGCGAAGTCCAGATCCTCCAAGTATTTTTTGTGTGGGTCCATTTTATGCCTGCCTCCTCGTTGCCCACTGTGTGTCTGTCGCATTATCCAGTCTACCGCAATCAGGAAAATCACTGGAGATAGTAGGAGGCAGTCAGCTTATCTTACTCCCGCCTTCACTTCGAAGGATTCCTTGAGTTTCTCTTTGTGGATTAATTCGCATGCAGCATTGCCGTACGTTAGTGTGTTTAGATAACTCATAATTTGGCGTGTTTCTAAAATAAAAAAACGGAGGGTATGTTTGCTAAAAGCACCAATACCCTAATGGTATCATTCTTTTTAGTTATTGAATTAAGCCATTTAGACTCACCCAATGACAACTGCATTCGAATTACTACGTCTACTGCAGTCTGACTCACTACTGTATCTACAGGCTTTTTAATTCTCTCATATGAAACCGTTGTAATGTGGTCAATAATTTTTTTGATGCATTGCTGCCCCTGACTAACTGACTGAGTGGTTTCAACTTAGAAATTTGCACTGATGTGCGGCAGCACTTCTAGTCGCTACAATTCTTGTAGCACACAAAACAGGAGAAGGAAGTACAAAGAAATGCAAAATGGAGAAACTAAACAGAAATCTGAGGCAAAAAGAATAGCGATATGGAAGAACAGTAGAGTTTTATTGGATATGATAAATCACAAGGAGTGGATGCATCTGCACCATTCGTTGAGAACGATTTTGAGCCATTTCAGCAATTGTCTCCAGCCACCGCAATTGGTGTTTTCCGTCCCGAGAACCCCAACTAGGCAGGAAGTCTACACCTTCCTACGTGGCTAAAACTAACTGTTATGGATTTCATTGACTGATGATGAAGCCATGTTTTGGTTTGACCACCACCACCACTGGCTAACTCTTTTTCAACCTGATCCATCCTATGTCAATCAGCTAACATAACCCGTCGGTTGAGGAAGGCGATTGCCATTCATGCATGCATGCGTAACACATGTCCTAACCATCTCACTCGATTTAACTGCTTCACAGCCTTGTTTATTGATTTCCCCTACTCCTCACCTAGCACTCAACCGACGCCTAACCTCAATATCGCTCACCCAAGTATACCGCCACCTGACACGGGAGATAGAACACAGATACCTATGATCAAAGACAGCTAGCTAACCGGCCTTTCCATGTCTTCCACTTTTAATGACCATGTTTCACTCAGCCAGCCAGCCATAAAGGAGGACGGAACGAACTGATGAACAGTACACGCACCCTTTGATCATCAGCCAGCCAGTCGGATATCACGTCTACTAAGCCAGAGACTGGCTTATGCGAGACGAGCCTTTTGTATCCGTACCCAGATGAGATTTCGTCAGCGATCAACCCGCTGGTGTTGGCGTTGGCTGATGCAACTTCCCAGTAAATAGGTGAAGTGGTCAACACGCTCCGCCAACCATTTCACTCCTTATTTCTAAGCTAGGAGTAGTCACTGTAGTCCAGTGCAGTCCTGTAGCACCATCTTACATTTGCTGCCCCTCTTAGCCTTTGTAGTGACTAAGCTTTCGTGTCAGTCTATAGAAATTCATTTGTGCTGATCTTTCTGATTTCGTTAAGTTTACATGTGCCTTTTTGGCTTTTTTATCACTGATAATGCATATTGTGCTCTACTGTTATTCCTGCCGAGTGAACCTTGTGTGTTACCTCTATGCTAACAGTATGACATCCTTGGCGTCATTTCACATTAACCCTCTCAAGTTGGTGTTTAATCTTTTCTGTGTAGCAGCACTTTCATCAAATAAATAACTCTGATAGAATTCTATCCCACTGCAATACTCAAGTTCTATTCTTAAATCATTGTTGATTTTTGCTTGTATATCTTTGAGTTTTTCAGCGCACGTTTTATGTCTCCAAACTCACACTTACTTTCGACCGATTGACTGACTGACTGACCTACCCGAGTGCCTTCACTTGTCGGCACCATCCGTCCTCTAACTGAAGTCTTTGCGATTTCAGCCCTAACAGGTTTTTTTTCTGATGAGTGCTTTGGATTGCCAGCAGCGTTAGGATTCTTTTTGACGGCGAGGTGGGGTAAGTGGGTGGGTAGGCGGTACGCCTGTTTTTCCAAGCTTAAGACTGTCTAATAACCTAGTTGAGGTTGTACAATAGGTGCGCCTAAAATCGTTAAACAGGATGTAAGGTGTAAAGAGAAACAGAAGTATGAAAATACTTGCGCGTCTACTTATCATGTGCATTCAATAGAGTGTGTTTGCTACTCCGCATAACTTTCAAGAAGAGGAGGGAGGGGATTGCAACATATTGATTATTGATTTCGGTTATGTGCCATATCTAGTAACATACCTTGGTACCAATCTATGTGGTCATGATTACTATAATATTATTATTGTTTCATTTAATTCCTAGAGGAACAAAGGGCTTTTCGTTACACACAGTAAAAGTTTCTGATCCGTATAAAAATTTAAACGTCCTAAATTTATTCAAGTATTTGAATTCCTCGCCAATTTCAGTTTTTCTCTTTTGATCAAGGGAATAGTAATGGGGATTATTTCTGTCTCTTTTTTTAATGAATCCCTGAGCTATCACAAAGATATATATATATATATATATATATATATATATATACGTATAATCCAAATGTTCAGTGTATTTCTTGTTTGAATACTTTTCATCTGCGTACAACTTAATTAAATATATTATCATATCCTGTGGATCCTAATTTTCTTGTTGCCGTTTGAACTGTGTGTGTAGGTATCTGCGGGTTCACCGAATGTCACCGTTGGTAGTACAATTGCCATTTTAGCTAGTGCCGATGAAAACTGGCAAGAAATAGCTGCTAATGCTTCTGCTTCTGCTGCTGCTACTACTCCAAAAGCAGCATTGCCTCAGCAAACACAGTCCAGTAGTTCACCTGTTCAAGCCTCCGAGATACCAACCACTCAATCACCTCGATCAACATCTATGGGACCTGCAGTCCGACTTCTTCTACAGTCGCACAGTTTAGATGGATCACAGATACCGTCAACTGGACCTCATGGTCGTCTATTGAAAGGGTATGATAAAGTAGTAATCTAGTAAAAGTGTATAAATTGTTGACTCTGTCTTATTTATTTATTTATTTTCTCTCTTCCTTGATATGTGTGTAGTTTAGAAAATAACACTGTTTATTTTTGATTTTCATGCATATTCAACTTTGATTTCTTTACGGAAATGCTATCAACTAGAGAAGGATTGAAATCCTAAGAGCATTCACTGGTACTCGTGCCAGCCATTTCGTTGTGGTGTGTGATTCTTCAACTGTGCTCACCAATGACTTCATCGGGGATCCGATTCGGCGGATGGTGGAGTAACATGAATTGATTGAATTCTAATTCAGTGATTGAAAAAAACACTGTTTTGACGTATTTGTGTTCCCTGAGCTAGCTGCATGGTTTATTTGAGAAGCTTTCATTATTGCCCTCCTACTAAGCAGGCAACATCTTCAGCGCGCATACTTAACTTCAATTTGAATTGAAGTGAGCTTTTAGACTTCTCGACGAGTTTATTGTTCATCTCTCCTAGTAGGGTTGACGTTGAACGCGATTGGTTGCTTTCGTCTGTTTTCACACCATCTAGGCTATTACTTTTCTTGGTATTGGAGCTGATTGTTTCCCTGACTTGAACTTTCACCCTTTGTGTGTTACATTTCCTTCTTATCGATTGGAAAGTTTTTTTCAAGTATTGGTTTTGTAAGGATTTTGTTTGATCGGTTGGAGGATTTCATCATGAGCTGGTGACAGTTGGAGAACTATTGCAAAACCTGCCACAGGGAGTACTGCCGGACAGACAGCTGTTTCCTTCGTCATAGTTTGGGACTGGCTCCTCAGCAGCACGCACCCGCCTCCACGATTCAGACCGAGGACCTTATGGTTACAAGGCCAGCAAGCTCGTGGACCATTAAATCCCACTCACTGGACTCGATCCAGTTGCCAGCCGGCCAGTCCATGAATTCCAACTACTGTCAATTTTTTTCTCTTTCGTATCCATGATCATAAACTAACCGTCAAAAGAAATGATATCCACTCCTTCACTCATTCATATTGCCTCACTGCATACAGGCAACAACCGCGGACATCAATTCCACTGGGGGACAACCAGCGTTGAAACAATATTAGACAGAGAAAACAACACCAAGAATGCTAGAGAATTATTAGAAGGCTGTCTGGTATTCCAGTAAATCGTCAATTAATAATAGACACATTGGTATAGACAAAATTTACCAATCGATAAGAAGAAAGTCTAACACACAAAGGGTCAAACTTCAAGGGTCAAGGAAACAGTCAGTACGAATACCAATACAAGTAGTAGCCTAGAGGGTGTGAAAACACAAAAACAACCAATCACGACGTTCAAGCTCACCATCCACTAGGAGAGATGATTAATAAACCCGTGGAGAAATCTAAAAGCTCACTTCAATTCCAATTGAAGTGAAGTATGCACTGAAGATGTTGCCTGCCTATTAGGAGGGTAATAATGAAAGCTTCGCAAATCAACCATCCAGCCAGCTAGCTGGCTAGCTCCGAGCACTCAACTACATCAAAATCATCCACCTGAGAGCTACAAATCTCTCCCACTATGTCTAGTCCTTTTCTATGGTGCAGGATGAGTTCTGTCATTCAAGGCTTTGCAATGTGCCTACCATTCTAGATGTCTTGTCATCACGGTACACTCTGAGTTGTTGTTCTAAACATTAGAGATAGTTGGAGAGGGGGGGCGACCTAGGACTTCTGCTTTTCGGCGCTTGCCAATCAGAAAGGCGTATCTGGAAATCATGAACGGACTCATCTCCCATCTGAGATTCCAACTCAAGTCACCCAGAGGTGTGTGCAGTCAGTCAAAGAGATGTTACCACTGAGTCATTCGGGTTGTTGAGTGTGATAGGTACTTTGCTTGGATACTGATTGGATACGTTGGTGGTACAGCGGTAGAATGCTCGCCGCCAACCACGCTCCATGTGGTTCGGGGTTCGATCCCCGGCCGGCAGCTGACGCATTCTTTTACCTCTCTAAACTTCAGTAATATGGTTGATGAAGAGGGAAGGCATTAGCTTTAATAAAACAACTATTGGATTGTGACTGTGCGTCTTATTCTATACTTTCTGAGTATATATATATATATATATATATAGGAGGATTTGTATGAAAGCAGGATTTAGGGTGGTGGTGGTGCCGTTTAATCCTACAAACACACTCAGATACGGCAAGCTCTGTAGGTAAGTTCAAGGAGCCTGTAGGTTGACTTAATTAAACAAAATAATATAATTTACAAAATACTTTGCAATCACTGCAAGTGAGTGAGGTCAACTACCTACATAAGTGAGTCAAACTAGTAGATCAGGCAGGAGTAGTGATATTGCCTGTCAGATGGTGGGAATTTAGCTGAGGTTAGAATGATTGATCCCACCCACGAAGATAAGTAATGTAGAAAAATACTCAGCGATTGCACTATATGCATTAACACAAAACCATACAATAGGGTGGGAGAGAGTTAAAATTATAATATAGGTAGGTGGAGAAAGAGGTTAATTACTGAATCCTGGTTCATCGAGTCTACACCCAACACATGCAACAGAAGTGATTCAATGCAAATACCAGAGAAGGATAATAAATAATCTTAAAATTCTATTTCAATTCACATACATTATAACATTCTAACAAGTTACTTATTTTGACTATAAAAGCACTCGTCTTATTTCCCATCTGATTGTATTTGATTGATAACAGTGATATTATTATCTCTGAATGTACATTATCCTATACTGATTTTATTTAAATGTCTAATCTATTTCACTCATGTATATAAATGAAGGAAAAAGTTGTGTGAGTGACTTGATATGATTATGAGCAATAATTTGTGCTCGAAACGTCATCAGTTAATATTACTACATAACAAACACCGTGTGATTTATCAAAATAAAATCTTATCTATAATGGAGTTATACTCTACCACAGTACCCAAGTTTTATACTTATATTCAAAGTGTAGATGGGTCGGGCATACATTGCGGAGGCTGCCGAATTATATCGCACGCAATGCAGGCCATTGCTCGAGTGGAATTCAAATAGGAAGCGATGAGTGGGTCATCGACGTGACGTTGACATGGAGGAGATTGTTTAAGGAGGAAGAGATCAGAGTTTGGTCAAACGTGGACCCAGCTGAAGAGGACGGCAGAAAACAGAAGAAAGTGGAGATGTGTTGTTGAAGTCAGCTGTATGTACCAATCGGAACGCAAGGGAATAATAATAATGAATATAAAAAAGACGTCTTCATGCAGTGAGTATGTTAAAATTTGGTGAACTCATATATATATATATATATATATATATATATATATTCAATTATCTCTTTTAAAAGTCATCTCTTTCGTTTTAATTACAGAGATGTGTTATCTTATGTGGCTAACAATAAGATGAAACCTGCAGAACCTATCCAAGGGAAATTATCTCAACAGACAAGTGTAGGTGGTATTGGTGTCGCTGTTGGTGCTGTTCAGTCTGCCTCATTTACTGATATACCTTTAACAAATATGCGTAAAGTGATAGCTCAACGTCTCACTGAATCGAAATCCTCTATTCCACATGAATATATTCGTACTATTGCTTGTTTGGATAATTTGAATGAGTTACGAAGAAAAATTAAAACGGATTTTGGAATAAAATTGTCTATTAATGATTTCATCATTAAAGCATGTGCTTTAGGTTTAAGGGTGAGTTCATTCATATTTCCCGGGATATACACATTCGATCATAGGAATTATCTAAAAAGACAGTTGCAGCAAAGAAAATTTTCTTTTCGATGAAGTCATCGTCAACTAGATAGCTGTACATTTGTGTATTTATATTATATGTGTGAGAAAGTTCCAGAATTATATCTGGTCAGGGGTCAAATTAATAAAATTACAATTAATAATAATAATAATAATAATAATAATAATTTGCTTTATTCCAGAAACAGTACTAGTGGTACAGTGTGGAATTTTCAGCACATATCTACAATATTTGCATCTAATTTTACCGACATTAAATTAGGAATTAAAATGCCATAATAAACACGGGTGGATGGGGGACGGATAAAACTCAAACATAGTAGCATCATAAGTTGAGAAGTTCAATTGATGATCGAAACCGCGTAGATCTTTTTACGGTGAATCCTGATAAGTACGTTACAAATAATCTTTCTGATATTACTCTGTCTACTCATCAGAAAGAAGCTTTATCCCTTGGACCTAAATTTTGTGTTCCTCGCACGCAATTTACGGATTTAGCCATCCATGCTGAATTTGAAAACTTATATGACCAACTGAAACCTCTTGCCGCAACATCCAATGAAGATCGGGGTTGGTTTAAGGCCAAGATGGTGGATATAGCTCACCAGTTCTTAAACAACAACCCAAAGGAGAAAAGTATTTTTAATTCCCAGCATTTCAAAACCTTGAAAGAGCTACCTGAAAACTCTAATATAATTATTACGCAACCTGATAAAAGTTCTGGAGTCATCATTATGAATAAAAGTGACTGCAAATCTAAAATGATGTCTATTCTTGATGATAAAAGCAAATTTAGCCGTGATCCCTCCTCAGAAGATATTCAGTTGTTGCAGGGCACAGTGACAGCTAGTCCAGTGAAGCTTCACGGCCTAAATGGTATCAGTAAACATAAATTTGACTCTTTAAAACCATCAGAATGTAAATTCCTGCATATGTATGGTTTGCCAAAAATATATAAACCCAAGAATCCTCTACGCCCTATATTGTCAATGTACAAATCCCCAACGCATGTCACTTCCCGCCCGCTGTATTTACCAATTTCAATGTACGTGTGGAAACACATGCATACATAGGAGGGAGGAGTCATCAATCTCTGCAAGTAAGGTCTGGTTTCAGAGCATATTCCTGAATGGCTCCAGAAGCAAATAGAATCCCCAGAACCCATGAATTAATGCTGAGAACAGGCGACAACCTTGCTCCTCTATTGCGAAACACAACACAGAAGAGACAGGACATAAAATTGATGTTTACAGATCTTATAAACCTGTCTATAAGACGTGTTTGGGGCAGGGCGTATCCTAAAGTTTGTGGAAGCTCTAGACAACAATGAGGAAGTTTAAAACACCTTCATGAGATCAAAGCAACAATTCGTCATCACACTATACCTACCGTCCTTGGTAAACTTTATTTTGATACCAACCAGGGCGGATGTACTATGTTACCTCTGTTATTTGGTTTAGTGATCTTCATTGTTATTTTGACCTTCAATACGTTCTCCTTTCAACTTGACCTAAATTGTCTATTCTCTCACCTCTTAACTCTTTAATAATTTCACTCCTATGACAAGTTCGTGTGTTTTGGATCAGATTGTTCGAGATGTCTTGCGCAACTACATTACACGACTCAGATAAATTACGTCTTCTTATTGCTTTATCTGAAAACATATGTATTTTCCATCATTGCACCTCGGAGATTACGCAATTCTTCCTCATTCATTTCCTCGTTGCATGTCTTCCTTTCTTATCCAAACTTACTGTTTATTCATGTTATTCTAAGTTTTCTTAATCCCTCCTATTTATCCTACCATATTTTCACATCCAAACATCCTGTCTATTTTTTTTTCCACATTTCTAACCCCTAATTGCACAATATGTCAATCTTCTCAATAATTATGATGCTACTTTGTTTGATTTTTATCCGTCCCGTTGTATATATATATATATATATATTCCTTTACGTTTACAGTGGAACATAGGGCGCCTTCAAGCTAAAGACTTGAAGTTTCTGTAGCAGTGGTAATTTATTTTTAGAGGGTGGGGTTGCTAGCCTCATACCAAACCTTCCCCCTTTACCAGTCTTATTACTTGCTTAGCGAGCGAGGTAAAGGAGTGCGTCGGTGGCCGACAGGAGATCGAACGCCGGAACACCTGCGGGTTGGCGAGCACTCTACCGCTGTACCACCGATGCACCCCCTTGTATATTACGGCATTTTAATTCCTAATTGTAATTTCATTAATTTGACCTTTGACCGGAAATGATTCTGCAACTTTCCCACCGATTTGTTATAAATACACAAATTTACATCTATCTAGTTGACGATGACTTCGTCGAAAAGAAAATTCTCTTCGCTACAACCGTCTTTTCAATAATTCCTGTCATTTATATTTATTATTGTTTTGGTTTGCATTCCTTGTATTCCAATTAGGGCATCATCATCACATTGATTGATTGATTGATCCGTTTAAGCCTTGTCTTTCGCGGCCTGGTAGTGTTGTTGTTGTTGACATGTGATAGGACAGATTAGCAGCCAGCGCATTAAAGTTCGTATTCGCTGATAGTCTACTAGGTCATATAGTTCCGGTCATGACAGAATCATAGGCGACATCCTGAATCTTTGGCTGAATTAAATTTCAAATAGTCGTTTTGTAGAGGGATTTTGTTTGGTTGATTAGTTAGCGGATTTCATCATGAGCCCTGACATCGATTGGTTAGAGAACCATTGGAAAACCTGCCACAGGGAGTACTGCCAGACAGCCGTGTCGTCCTGCCTACTTTGGGACTGGCTCTTCAACAGTACTCACTCACCCCACCGCACTGGGGTACGAACCCAGGACCTTCTGATTACAAGCCGAGTTTGTAGACCGTTAAGCCAGTGCATGAATTCTAACTTCTGCCGGTTCATGACATAGCGCGACCACTTCTCAATGTCTTTTTCGATGAGTAACTGTCCTCACCTTCAACCTGCTGTACCCTACTGATCATGGCTTCCCACTAGAACCTTGTGTAACTGCCTACCTGAATAGGGTCAGTCGCTAGTGAGCCTAATGGTCTACGAGGTCGCTTGCCTTGTAACCACAAGGTCCTGGGTTCAGATCTCAGTCGGATGGGTGCGTACTGCTGAAGAGCCAGCCCCAAAGTAGGCGGGACGAAACAGATGTCTGGCAGTACTCCCTGTTGCAGGTTTTCCAATGGTTCTCTAACTGATGTCAGCTCATAATGAAGTCCTCCAGCGTATTTAATTTCTTTCATTCTGTTGTATACCAGCTTTACTTTTTTTTCTGTTCTATGTATGTATTGTATTCTATTTATGATGATGATTGTGTGTACTTCAGAGTATATTGGAAAATGCAAGTTATCCTGTGATGGAAAAGCTATTTGCAAAGGCAAAATTCCCCACGAATAGTCCGCGTTTTGCTGAATCCCTTTGTGTTGAAATGAACGGAGACCACAGTAATACTCGTGTTTGTTTGTTATTGTTTGTTTTTCAATTTTATTTTTTGTTGTTTCTGTTGCGAGAGTTTTCTTTTGTGTGTGTTTTTGCTATTCTTGATATTTCATACGAAGTAGAAACTTTATAAGGCAAGGCTATATATATATATATATATATAATGGTACTTCAAACTTGAGCCCGAACAACTGCTCAGTGGTAACGTCTCAGACTGACTGCAGTACTCACTGGGTGATGCGGGTTCGAATCTCAGAAGGAGGGACATGAGTTGTTCCTTCGGTGTGGTTGCAGATACACGCCTTGCTAACTGACTCACTGATGGTGGATGAGTGCCAACTAGCACGAAACCTAGGTCGAGCAAAGCAAGGCTTCCTTCCTGTGGTCGAATGCCTCCAACCATCTATCAGATATCATCAAATACTTCAACCTCACCTAAAAAAGTAAATGACACATGGTTTTGCTGAGCTGTTAATTAATTTTGACTGGATGATTTTAAAGAACCTTCCTGTAAGGTTACAATTTCTAAAAAAGAAAACGTTTGATCATGGATAGAGGGAGAAATGTTGGAAGCTATTAGGGAGTACTGGACAGTTCCTTCTTTGTAGGTCGAGAATCTTCATCGGTAGGCGCCTATGACTTGACCCCCACTCCCCAAAAGAGCATCGAACCCACTCGGGACATTCAGGTTACAAGGCGAGCTAACTCGTTGACTATTCTGCCACTGATCGAACGAAATACAATACCGCGTAAATTCTAACCGCTATCAGTACACGATTTTTATTGTCAGTGCCTGCCGGCCTGCCAGTCAGACAGGCAATATAATTAGCTAGAGTTTGTCATCACACCCAACTTGGTAGAGTTCACTGGTGTTTGAGCAGAACGAATTCGTGGCTGCTTTGTAACCTTAAAGTTGTGGGTTTGATCGTCGATGTCTAGTGACATATCCTAAACTAGAACGAAACAGCTTATCTGGTACGCCTCGGTTTTGCAATGTTTCTCTAACTGATATCAATCCGTGATGACAATTAAAACCGACCACATAAATCCCTGGAGGGTAACATGACCATTCTCTAGTAATTTAATTATGTTCGAGATGATTTTTGAGTCAGGTGGATAATTTTGATGCATTGTGTGTTCTTTTAGCTAGCTGAGTGGTTTATTTGCCAAACTTTCATTATTGCCCTCCTACTCCTACTAGGCCATATCTTCAGCGCATACTTCAATTTGAAATGAGCTTTCAGTGACTTGAAATGTTTGGATGTTTGAAGAAGTGGTCGCTTAGGTTAGTCAGTCATGTGTTTCATCAATCGACTGTTATAACAATGATATTTCTAAATCCTCTACCTAACTGTAAGAAAAACGGTAGAAGACTAAAGACATTTGGTAGAGAAATGTTTATTTGGAAATTGTTATCTCTACATATAGGCAAATTATGTATACCCCTTAACTTCAACGCCGCACCATTCACACAGCAGATCTTCGTGTTGTGCCTGCTACTTCTCGCCTTCCTCCTTCATACTGTGTGTTTCTTTGTGTGTACTCCTTTCACTCACGTCTCCCCCGTGTATCTCTCCACAAAACCGTATCATTTGCCTGCTATGACATCAAATGTGTCTCTTTCGGCTATTTGATGTTGTCTTCTGCTGGCCGATGAACGTCTCGTCATATACTACTACTATCAGTAGCATTCGTTGTCACAATTGATGCGATGTAAAGTGAGATAATAAAAATAGGCAGAGAAAATTTTAGGCTATGTTCGGTATGCTCTGTTCTCCTACTGAATGTGTGGTGCTAATAAATTTCATCTGTACCAACTCCTGGAGAAAAGCAAAGAAAATATAATGAAGTGAATTCGATCCTTGGTTGTAAATTGGATTACCAAGGCAGGTTTCGAGTAATGGCAAGTAGCTATTGGACATGTAAGACTGACAGGTTTAATTTTTTTTTATGGCCAAGGCTTCAACGAATTTAAGTATGTGATCCAACCTTTTTTTGTAATAAGTTTCAAAAAGCCTAAATGACACTGATTGATAAAAGGAAAATGATAGACATAGGCCAGGCAAAAAAAAATATTCGCCTTTTCGTAAATTCACTATCAATATAAGGATGTGCAGACTTGTTTATAGCGTATTATTCATTATCTTATGCATCTTGCGTTTTGTATTACGTTACGCTTTTACTATTGTATGCATGCATTGACTTTTTGTGTGAACTTGAATTCCCTGTGCAAAAACTGTATATATAAGCGTAATTTTCTGATCACACACTGTTCACTAAGTCCGGAACCACCTTGTCACTAACTGTTATCACCAGAACTATACGACCTAGTAGACTATGAGCGAATACTAACTTTATGCGCTGGTTGCTAATCTGTCCTTATCGCACATCACCAAAACAACAACACCGCCGGACCACAGAGATAGAAGAAATGACTGGCCGTTGATAAGAGAGCTTTCACTGTCTCAAAACAACAGTCCCAAAAAAAGGGTTGATAGCGCTTTCGAATACATGTCGCTAATGTCACTGATCAATTAAGACAGTGAACGACAACCAATAGGATTTCAAAGGTCATTTCGTGGTAGGGTGAGAGAAAATAAGGTGATAATTCAATAAGTATGTTGGCGTAGTGAGAGAAATACAAACAGACGTGTAAGACGGACATGTCGAAAATTAAGGTTTATATATCCCACTAACTGACATTGTTTAAAACTCGCAAGTATTTTAAAATTGTCTCTGTACATGTCTGTAAGCAGCAGCTGATGTGAAGCCAATGAAATAAGCAATGATACGCCGTAGCATCTTTTTATTCTGCACAATTCACACTCTTGTTGTTCTTGCTTTATTCAAATTCCTATTGGAGTCGTTAGTCAGCAGACATACAGCTAGCTAACTGTTTACTGTTATTCTAGTTCAGAGAACACTTTACTTCCTGACCCCTGGCCGCTAACCAGTTGGTTAGTCACGACAGTTTTAGAAATAGTGGATATCACAGGAGAGGAGGGGTATTTGTTTGTTGATCTTTAATACAATGATGTGACAGCTTCAGTTAAGCGTGGTGGAGACCACCACCCGCCCCTCCCACCACAATCTCTCTACCTAGTGATAAGTTATGAGATGGTGATGCAAACTGTGAAGTTTTCACTGGGAGTTTGTAAGGCTTGCTAAGGTGAAGAGTCTGTTAGCAAACCGAAACAGTGTGAAACCAATAAGGTCTAATAGAGATCCTTTTCTTAGGTATTCGGGGCCAACTGACGTGGATCATACTTTCTTATTCCCTTTGTTATTTTATCACAACGCAAAGTAATGCGGATTATTCTCAATAATAAAGAGATGGAAAGACTTCCATCTGGATAATTCTCTTTTCCATACATTTATTCCCCTTAATGAATTTGAATAAAGCAAGAACAACAACAGTGTGGTTTGTGCAGAATAATAAGAGATGGTACCACTATCATTGTTTATTTCGTTCGTTGGCTTCTCATCAGCTTAGCTGCTGCTCACAGCCCAAAGACATTATTGAGTATATATACAGGAGCAATTTTAACATACTTGCACATAATTCATTTTAAACAAACATAATATATATATATATATATATATATATAATCACTTTACCCCAAGTAACAGTAGTGATCATACAAAATGGAAACTTCCGGCATTACGTAATCAGATGAAAACATCCAGTTATCAGGCTTGGCAGAGCCAGAAAAGACTGATACTGACTGCTGCTTTCTGAACGCATAAATAAATGGGGTTTCAGGCGCTTTATGGAGATCGCCTGATCAAACTCAAGGAGAATTCAACTCTTTTCCCTGCTAATAATTTTGAACGATCTTGAGATGTCCACCTCATGACCCGTGTTGACAGTGCCATGCAACGCCTAGAAGATGGTAGTCTCTAGAAGTCATACAAAAAGCCTACATGCAAAGGACAATGCCTACATTTTAATAGTTTTTATCTAAATAGCTAGCTACAAGCGAGCACTAGTCAAAACTCTGTACTCTAGAGCTAGGAGAATATATTCTACAGAGAAATTAGAGGAAGAATTTATACTTCACGAAAAGATGTTAGAAAGCAACGGTTACTCGCAAAGGTTCATTAACAAGTACGAAAGATCTGAAGACTCAAATGTCAAACAAATCACAGTGGGGAAAAGCCTGTCTTCATTCAACTTGATTTTAAAGTTGAAAATCTTACAGCAGTAGTCAAGAGAAGATTGAGTAGGTGACTAGGTGGAGCCTATCCTGCAGCTAGCTAAGTTGGTTCCCATCTATCGAACAATTAGCTCTCCTTTGGTGCAGTCAAAAGTCAACAGATATTCACCTCTCTCATGTTAGCAACTGCAACTGTATATACAAATTTACGTATATCTGCGAGAGCAGTTAAATTGGCTGAACAGAAAGAAGGAGGAGTGCACATCTCCGATTTCCTGAGCATGCACCAAAAGCGTATGTCTCCAGCTGGGAACAAATGCTTTAAACAGTGCCATCGCAAGGCATGTTTTGACACGGGTACTCGTTGAAAATTATCAATAGGTAAAAGAGCTCAATTCTCCTTAACTTTGCCGAAGCAATGTCCATTAAGTTCCTGAAACCGATTAATGCGTTCAGAAAGAAGCAGCCAGTATCAATCTTTTCTTGTCCTGCAATACCTGGTAACTGAATATTTTCATCCTCTCTTTCATCTGATTACAGAATGCCGGATGTTCCCATTGTGTATGACTATTATTGTTGCTTGGGATAAAGTGTTTATTAATATTGTATGCATATATTGATTTTTTGAGTACCTGAAACAGAAAAAGACTTAGTGTGTCGTGACTGCAGTTGACCCCAGGGTACAACTGTGCTTGAGGCTAACCGGCCAGTCACACACGGCCTGTATAAACTGGTTTCTTGGATTGGTTCCGTTGCATACTAATAAACTTACCACCGGTTAAGGACCACCACCACCGTATGTGAGGTAAGTCGGGAGGTACAATTTTTGAGGTCAATTTTTTCTAACTTTCCTTCACTCTCTCCAGATAGGTGGGGAGACAGCATAGCTGGCTGGCTGGCATGTTGGTCATCTGAGTGGGGGAAGCACCTTACTGCGGCAGTTGCATCCCTATTCCCCAGCAGTACGACGTCGCCCACAGACAGACCCCCAGTATACTGTAAAAAGCACCGGCATCTTCCAGGATGCCGGTAACTGCCTTTAGTATAATCGCTATCCTAACACAACCTACCTGGCATGGTAGGTTGGACCTGCAGGAACATTAGCTCCAGCCAGTGTAGTTTGTTGGGTAATTGCGCGATATGCAAGACCAGCGACCATCACGTCAAGGTAGGTGGCAGATATTGGTCAGCCTGTCATCCAGTCAGTGATTAAATCTAACTGCATATATGTGGTGTTCAATTTCTTCAATAAATAAAAATTTTCCTTTCCTCACCCCACCTCCCCTATCATTACCGCATCGCCTTTTTCTAGCTTGTACCAGATTTGAATGCCATCTACGACCCACAGACGGAATCTCCGATCTACTTGAGATCAGTTGATATCAGTATGGCAGTCGCAACTAACACTGGTCTAATTACACCAATTTTGCATTCAACAGATACACTGACAATTTCAGATATCTCAAAGTTGTCAAAGCAGTTAGCCAAGAAAGCACGAGATGGTCGATTACAACCGAGTGAATTTCAAGGCGGTAGTTTCACGTAAGTCGTCGTAGATTGTTGTTGTGGTTGAATAATGCTAAGCATCAATATAAGACTTGTTGTCAGTTGAAAAAAGTTGTGTGTGCATCTTACAGGTTCAGTTAAGAAACGCTGGAATTTCTGAAGGTATCTTTACTTTTCAACGAATTTCATTTTCAATCAGCTGTACAGCAGTTGTGATTTATATTACGGAGGAAGAGAAGGCATTCGTAAGTGGCAGTATGCGTCAAGGATAGACTACCCTGGCTTATGTACGTCCACCTCTATGTGCATCTATTGTCATTCACATGCGCTCGTGTGGAGCTGATTACATTGGATGTTGTAAGTGTGTTCTCCGTAAACGCGTAGCTAAACACTCCCCCCCCCCCCTTCGACACCCGGTTTGGTTAATGACAAAATCTTCAATCTATAAAAACACTTTCTGGAGTCAGGTCATTCAACCGCCCTCCCCAGCTCGTGATTTATCCTTTAAACTTATCTACAGCATTAAATACAGTCACTGAAAAAGCTTACGTTTTCTCCACTTATGTATGGCCGAAGCTCTAGCTCTACGTGGACAGAAATCTAAATGTTGTATTTAAAAGACGTTTTGTCAAACCACTTTCTTCACCTCGGTCATAGGAATGTTCTTACCACGGGAATTCATTGCACTTCACCTATGCTGTCTTTATTGTTATAACCATCATCGTGCTCTTAATGTTTTAGAAAATACTCGACCTAGAATTTTAAGAAAATCTTTATACCAGTTCACTTATTTAATAGTCATCTTTGATAAAAGTTTTGTAATTCATCCACTTCAATCAACTCTACCGCGCCCACTCCTCCACCTTAGTACATCATCACTTTAATTATCTTTATTCTTATCATCATATGTGCAATATTGACCACTGAGCACTTTCTAGTGTCACTCATGAATGCCTGCTATTTTCCGTAATATAAATACGACTGCTGTACAACAGTTGGCTGATTGAAAATGAAGTCGTTGAAAACCGACAGTATTCCTCTATGCTGAACAAACAGAACAACTATTGTGTTTTTCCTTATGAACAAATAGGTCATTGAATCAGAAAGACGGTTTAACATTTGGGAGTGTCTGTTGCACTGACACGGGAGCCCCTGGGAATTAAGTATTGTGATGACCCAATCAATTTATATACATAGCTGAAATTTTCCCTTCACCCAAGTACCCATTGGAAATAATATTTCATAAATATTTATTACTCTTGATGAATTTGAATAAAGTAAGAACAACACCAGTGTGGTTTGTGCAGAATAAGAAGATGGTATCACCATCACTGTTTATTTCTTCCGTTGACTTTTCATCACCTGAGCTGAGATGTGCACAGCCTAGATAAATTATAATTATGAAGTTTATGCATAGAAAAGTTTTGACATACTTGGAAATTTTACATGATATCAGTTAGTGACAAGGAGGTTCCGGGATTAGTGAACAGTGCTCAGATAATCACGCCTATACGGTTTTTATACAGAGAGTTCAAGTTTGAACAAACAAAGTAAATGTATGCATATAATGGTGAAGGAGTTACTTGATGAAGACGAGAGATGATGAGTGACTAATAAATTAGGCGACAATGTAGTGAGTTCAACTCAAATCATAGAGACAAGCAGAATCACAGTATGTCAAGGCTTTGGGGTGAGTTGAAAGACAAAAATTATGCAATCAAATGCGAGACTAGAGAGAGTGAAGACATTCAGTTACCAGGTAGAAGGGCAAGGAAAGACTGATACTGACTGCTTCTTTGTGAACACATAAATCGGGTTTCAAGCGTTTGATAGGAATTGCTTCGATAAACTTGAGGAGGATTGAACTCTTTTACCTATTGATAATTTTAAACGATCTTGTGATGTTCCACCTCATGACCCGGGTCAAGGAGATGACTGGCGATGGCACTGTTTAACGCATTTGCTCTCTTTAGATATAGGCTTTTTGGTGCATGTTGAGAAAATCGGTGTTGTGACTTTCTTCTTTCTGTTCTTCCAATGTTACTGCTCTCGCAGTATACACAGTTGGAATTGTTAACATAAGAGAGGTGGGTTTCTGTCGATTTTTGACTGCACCAAAGGAGAGCAAGTTGTCCGGTAGATGGGAACCAAGTTAGCCATTATATGAAATTCAAATTCTTGTGTGGAATTGTCACTACAACGTATTATTTCACTCCCTTTACCTAAGTAGTTAGCGTATACCGAGTGTATGCCATGTACTCGAAAGGCCTTCCGAAGAAATAACATTCATATATATATATATATATATATATATACTTTGATTGGACACTAGTCAGTAATTAGTGTGATGTGTCTAGCTAGTCCTTTGTTTGGTGCAGACTGAATTCTATCAGTCAGTCAGGCTTGCAATATGTCCGCCAGTGGGCTAGGTGAATCTCCATCGCCATGTACATTGATTTGATGATATTAGATGGTCGAAGGAAATCGGTAGGAATCCTTGCTCGACCTAGGTTTCGTGCTACAGGAGGTCAATCGCGTGCCTGAATAGCTGGACGGCAACGTCTCATAGTCACTGCAGTACTCACTGGGTGACGTGGGTTCGAATCTCAGAAGAAGGGTCATGACTTGTGCCTTCAATGTAATTGCAGATACACGCCTTGCTGACGGACTGGTGAGTGCCAACTAGCACGAATCTTAGATCTAGGCAAGGCTTCCTTCCTGTGGTCAATTGCCTCCAGCCATCTAATATCATATATATATATATATATATATATATCTTCATACTTTAAAGTGACTCGCTCCTTTCCTGTGATTGCAATTCAATACAGAATAGTCGAAGTGATGTTTTGTTATCTTAGTCGACGGAATGTAATACGAAAAGTGTTTTAGTGAATAATACTGTTGCTATAGAAGACACACGCACATCGAACAAATCGATGTTCACACTTCATTCACCCATCCATCCATCCATGTGATTGTGTCTAATTCAAGAATGAATTAGTGAGTATTGGTAGTAGTAGTAGTAGTAGTAGTAGTAGTAGTAGTAGTAGTAGCTGTTTGTGAGGTGAGTTCAATATACACAATGCTCATCTAATATCAATCAATATATGTGTGTATATGTGTATTTATATGTCTGCTGTTCTGCTTCTCCACACAGAATCTCTAATCTTGGAATGTACGGTATTCGAGAATTCACCGCCATCGTGAATCTTCCACAAGTAGCTATTCTAGCTGTTGGAACTGGTTTACCTGAAGCCAGTACCCCCATCCCCACGCCCCCAATAGATTCATCAATGAAAGGAATCAATTTTTCAACGAATATAACACTGACATTATCAGTGGATTCAAGATGTGTGGGTGTGAATACAGCAACAGAAACGTGTGCAGGTCGATTCTTACGATACGTGTCACATCTGTTAACCGAGCATCCTCAATTATTGATTCACGATGATCCGATCTGTGGATTGCTGGAGAAGAATAAGACGGACATTCAATCTTCTGAGCTGGACGAGTTTGATACAATGATGCTTTCTAGAGAAGGTGTGACAGAAGATTTGATTTCAGTGAAGACAGTATAATTCCAAGCACACCCACCCACTCACTCAGCCGCCCCCCACCCCCACCCCGCAGTTTAGTGTCATCACAAATTTATAGTGCTCACTTGAGTATTTTGAGTTTCAGTGTGTGTGTGTGTGTGTGAAGACAGTTCATGTGTTGCTGTTGGTGGTGTGTGTGTGTGTTTAATGCCTACAGTGTGTTGTTTATGTGTCTCGTCTCCTCTTCTATCACAAGTGTAATTCCTCCTCCTTCTCCTCATCATCATTTGAGATGATGAACAGCTTCCCTGATTTTTCTTCAGTTTTGTTCTGTTTCGCTTTTTATGACCATCGGCAATCATGTGTAGTTTATTTATGAGAGAAGGTGTGTGAATGGATCTTTGAGATGATTTTTGTAGTTGATTATTTGAATGTATATACACATACATACAAATTATTATTATTATTATTATTATTATTTCGGTAGAGAAAGAAAGACCAGATTTGCAGTATAAAGTGATATCATTCTATTTCACAGGTTCTCATCAGCTGCAAACTAACTGAAATTACAATGGTTATAAATAATAACATTTCATACTTCATTGTTAGAAAGGTAATACAGAAAGCATTATAAGATGAACGCATCCGGAATATAAGGATTAAAATTTTTTAGTTTAAGTTACCATCAATTTATATACCATCAAAATATGAAAAAAGGGGGGGGGTGAGAGAAGACAGAAAACAGGAAAATCTAATAAACAGTGTCAACATAGCAACTCAACAAGGTCAAAGTTCATCAATTTGAAAACCTGCTTAGTGAGTTGACCTCACTAGTGTCTATGAGTAATCAGTGTAAGGAAAGTGATATGGTTACCAAGGAAGTGAGAGATTGACTACACTCTCTTTTTGTGTGCATAAGTTTGGTCTGAGACGTTTGATTGCAATTGCTTCAGCAAATTGTAGTAGATTCGCTGTCCTTTGTATGTTTAATATTTTGAAGGCTTTGGAAATCTTGACAAAATGGCCTGTATCCACAAGGTGTCTGGTAATTGCACTTTGTAAATATTTGCTTCCTTTTAAGCATAAGTTTCTCGGAATATGCTCTGAAAACCGGATAGAAGCCCTTCTTTCTGTCCTTCCGATGTATTTGCTGCCGCAGGTGCACGTAAATTTATAAATGCAGTTTGAGGTAACATCAGCAGGGTACTTATCCAGTTTCGATTGGCTTATAGAGCATGTAGTACTGTATAGTGTCACCAGATTGGCTACAGGGAAGCATATCTTTATTGCTCCTTTCATCCTCTTTTCAATCTTTTGCGATACTGTTTCTCCCTTGTATGGGAGGCAAATGAACACTTTCTTCTTTTCAACTGTTGGATACCTCTCTTTCTCATCTCTTTCTCTGCTGTACTTTAGGATAAATCCTTTTGGATACCCGTTTTCCTTAAGGCATTTTTCAACAAAGCTTAATTCTTCTATCTTGTTGGGCGAACATAACTC